ACTATTGAACCATCATATTTCTTGCCACTATTAGAAAACATAGTCAGTGGTCTTTGCATTTTCTATAGGGTGTACGATTTTTATTTTGTTGCCTAATGGCCGCTTTCAAGTAATTTCTCAATRAATGAAACATGTTAAAAAGGTACTGACTGCTATTGAATGCAAAATAATTCGTCTTTAAAGGAAAAACAACTTGTTTTTCTTTTCTCTTAAGAAAAGAATTTTTTGTTTTACTCTATTGGTTTCGCTTTTCACTTTACTTAAAAAAGTAAAGGCAATGCTATTGGAGATACAATGAAATAAACCTTCGTCAATGCTCAGAGTCAGCTAGATCGGGATGATTGCCTTATAGATAAGATAACATTTTAAAATACAAATAAGCATAAGAAATATATGTTTGCTAGAATCAAAGTAGTGATCATTAAAAATATGCAGCCCGGCATCTATATACAAATAACGCCTTTTCGGCAACTTGCTTTGCATCTTATCAGCATTTAGCTTGGAGAAACCGGACATCTAGTCATTACAGAAGGGGTTCTTTTCTGACMGCATCATTGATGTCTTAGTTAATTATACTTTTATGGGTGTACATTTACATCGCCAAAAACATCCCTCTCGAACAAACCCTAAATTAGAATAAAAAAAGAACGGAAATTTGAAGCTATAGCGAGAGTTACACCACAGTGCTACACTGCTGTGTGTTAGGGGTTGGAGGGGCTAACAGTCGTAACGCCCTTTCAGTGAAAGTCAAATCTTCAGTATCGACACACATGCGAGGTATTCAAAGCGATCAATTTGTCCAAGGAGGTGCTCCACAAATAAATGAAATACTAAGCCATGCTCAAAATGCAGCAAGCCAGAAAACTATATAACGAATATGCAACTATACATAGGAGATATTTTCGGTAAAGATTCAAAGTGGTAAAACGTACCTTCTCGTATTCCATGAACAACTGAGGAGAAGACCACTTTTTTCTTTGTCATTCATACATGCTGGCGTTATACCTAGAGAAGGGGAGATTCCAAATTTGCCCTGATAACTAACCTTAAAGTTAATTTATCGTCGCGATCAAAAATGAATCCACACGCGATATTCAAAGGGTGTTTTTTAGAAAAAATAGTAACTCAGTTGTGGCTTGGATGCCTCAGTTACTTGCAAATKATTGGGATTACTTGTTTTGCCGATTAAATCTTCTTACGTACTGACTAGCAGTAGTATAAATACGGAATAGTATAATAGACTAACTCTAACTTTAAAAGGTTTTTTCATAAATTGTCAGTCGGGTTTTTTTCTACTTACCAGAAAAGCGGCGTTAATTATATCGACTGCATCTTGTTCCACCTATACCGAGAAATCATAAAAAAATTTAGTCGCGGCTTGTCCAGCAACCAAATCACAATTTCGCAAATTGAATCTACATCTATTCATAGTGAAAGATRCTTACGTGTTAAGAAGCAAAAGTACTTGATCAAAAATACCACTAGATAATAATAAGTTTTGTTCTTTGCTGTGTGAGACGTTCGCAAACGGACCCAGATACTGGCTATATAAATGGCCTCGTTTCCCTTCTTGCTTCGTTAGCCTCTTCCGCAGTCCCTTGCTCGGCCGCTGCACTCTCCGCACTTATTCACCCACGTGCTATTATGAAAGAGGAGAAGCTTTCGAGGCAAATTTCCCAGGTATCTTTTCACACTTTGGTATATGTTGAACCAGCCAGCGAAAATTTACATAATGCATAAACTTCCAAGCTAGGAAAAAGGCTAAACACTCATTTAGGCAGCCAGTATCAAGTAAATGTGTCTTTTTGCCAGCAAATACTTACAATGTATCAGATTCTCCCAGCTAGCAAAAAATCACATGCGGAGCGGATATTTTGCAGAGCGGCTCCGGCGGGTGCTCTTGATTAAAGCGGAAAATGACAAATACCGTGTATTTTTGTATGATTTCTTTTATGTATTTCTACGGTATTCAACAATCGACCCTAGTCTTTTAATTCTTTTTGCCCTGCACTCACTGGCACTCACCAATGCCCCTGACTTTTATTCCATTTGCTTTACTTTCCATTCCTTTACATCCTCCAGTTTTCTTCTCTTTTCCTCGTTTCTCAATCATATTTCCTCATTCCATCTTTCCTGTACACATATATTTATCCTTCCATCCTTTAGCTTCCCACCACCTTGCTTTTCTCTCACCCCTCCCTTCCTCTCTCCCTCCCTCCCTCCCTCCCTCCCTCCCTCCCTTAACCCTCCCTCCCTCTCTCTCTCCCTACCTCTTTACCATTCCCTGGCATCAAAACACCTATATCCTGTTCTACCCTCCTGTACTCAAGATGTCGTACTTCGCCTGGTCCAAAGGTAGCATTAATGAGTCCCTCCACGATATCAGATTAACACGTGCCAAAAGATGATATTGTCATGCAATAAAACATTAATCAAAATACGTGTGGTATTTCGTTAAATAACTCGAGCTATGTTTTTCTGTCTGTCTGTCTGTCTACTCTTGATGATGGAGTAAAGTTAGCCTGCGTCACATCCGGAATTTTCTTCGTAAATACTGTACTTACAAAATAATATTAAATTTTTTAAAAAATATTTACGAAGAAAATTCCGGATGTGACGCAGGCTAGAGTAAAGTCAAGATGAAATATAGAGGAGTGCTCATTTTTCTGGGGGAAGGGGAGGGTGGGGTGGATAATTTTTAGAAATTTTGTTTTAAAAATGTTTCATTCCCCCACCTTTTTAATTACTGTTCATAATACCCACTAAAATCTCCGCTAAAATAGCCTAAACCAAGGTTTTTTTCCCCAAAAATATTAGACTAAAACCCCAGAAAACTTAAAAATGTAATACCCACCCTGAATTCTCCACCCCCACCCCTCATTAGATACTTACCGTCTCAATTTTTTTTAAATTAAACTATCCAGTGAAATTAAGAATATACGGAAAAAGAAAGACATTTCTCTATATTTTTTTCTTTTATTAGTAAAACTAAAGATATGCTCTGAATATGGGAGAAAAACAGACCAATTGAAAAAAAAGACTTTGTCCATGTCTATTTACGCGTACGTGACGTAACTGAGTGACAAATTTACATAAATAACCGCTAATACGATAGAGCGAGCAGTCATTTGGTCGCGTGTGTACAATATGGATGGGTTCACTGCTTTGAAAGGATTTTGGAAATCCTTCACGCAATTGAGAAAGATACTGTTAAGGAATATTTCAGTCCTTGCTTTAATTATGTTCCCTCTAACGTACCAAATTATTGCTGTGGAGTTTTTTGTTGAAGAAGAGTCGTCGAGTGCTTGTAACTACTCAGGTAAGAGAGATGAGACCAGGACATTTATGACGGGAAAGAAAGAATGTTTTTTATCTGCTGTAAACTAATAATTACTGGTATAAAATATGATATATCTGTTCTTTAAATATAACTGAAAGTCATTTCAAAAGCGGGGATTTTAGAGGGTTATTTTTAATTTTCAATCTAAGGCATATTGTACTCGTCCTTCAAAAAAGTTGCATGTACGAATTTACTGACGTGTGATAAATTTTATAAAAAAAGACAAAAGAGCGCTAAAATAGATAAATAAATAACATTTCAAAGTATAGAACGTTGAATTTATGTCCAGTGGTTCTCTCATTCCTCTACAAATAAATCATTTCTTGTTCCAGGACGTTGTTTACACACAACATACGAAATAGTAAACGGCACTAGGACGAAAATTACCAAAGTCACTCCATATTTCCAGGTAAGCCATGTTTTCATATTATCAGAGAATAAATCAATAAAAAAGGAAGAAAAAATTAAGATAACAAGCTCCATATGTTGTTATATTTAAGCTCAAAACCGAATGCGTTTACGATTTGTCGAAAAAAAAAAAATGAAAACCAATTGCTGAAATTGCTGGTCAAGAGGTTTTCAATGGCATTTTCATTCAGCACGAGAATTTTGAAGTTTTGAATTCATACATGAGCTTATACACAGCTTTGTATTTTCATCGATGATTTTTAGCATTTTAGTTCAATATTTTAATATCTTGCTTTGATCAGTATTTATTTGCATTTTGTTGTGGTACAAAACGTGACTTGAATCTCGTACGTAGGTTAGTTTTGTACACTTCCGGTGACTTTCTTAACCCGGGGAATAACCTTTGGACTTCATTCTGTCTTCTGGATTATTCGTGAATCATTGCTCTTTTGCAACAGACTTACGAAATGAGACACCTAGATTGGACAACGGGGTAAATAAGAACAGATACTTTAARATTAAACACCTTTTTTGAATGTGTAAGATAGAGACGTGCTTTGTTTATATTAATTTAATAGCCCTGTCCGTCCCTTTTTCGCTCCATTGATTACCTGATCCTTTGCCAAAACATTAAAGGCTTCTCCTTCATGTATAAAATTTATTTAATTGATAAAATTTATATAATTTTCCTGCTGAAATAGCTAGAAAAATATCTTTTAATTATATACATTACATTAATATGCAAAAATGATAAAGAAAAATATAAGAATTGTCTTTTATTATATAATTACCTATGAAATATCTATTTTTCTCTATTTCGAAAAATTGATATCTTCACACGTGAAAATAACATGTTATTTTCACGTGTGAA